TATATATGTACATATACATATATATGTATACAGTATGCGTATCCATGTCTAGTTCAACCCAAGAAGACTCAGAACACTTCGCACATTGGAAGCAACAAGCACACACCAGGAACGACGCTGATGGTAGCGTCCTCAGCTCGGGACAGCCAAGGCAGGAACGGCAGCGCCAAGCGACCAGTCCCCTGCAACATCTAAGGAGCTTTCAATCAGACTGTCGATACCCTTCTCTCTTTTGTGCTAGCTGTAAGGGCAAACCGCAGAAGAATGCCATGCAAGACGAAAGAAATGGGCCGTGGCTCACAACGGCACTTCCAGCAGAGGAAACACGAGCAGATCCTGCGACGGAAGAGGTCCAAAGTCATCGACGGCAAAAATATGCCAAGACCACGTAATAACCAGGCGATAATGGGGAGCTCGTGAGTCGCCTTAAACCCAAACCCAACACTCGGCACCCTGCGCAAGTCGCCTCGCTCTTGCACCACTTTGCCGTAGCCAGCGTCTATGTAGATCCAGGCCTCGGGTGGCGGAGGCCCCGCGTTTGAGTGAAGCACAACAAAGCAGGCTGGCACTTACTGTAGTCGTATGATGGATTGTGTATGGGTCGAAAAGCTCGCTGGAAGCCCCCACACACACACAGGTCCCTTTTTTACATTAATGTGAGATGCAAGTGCTAAGCCTCTGGCCAGTTGAGCCCGCAACAGTACCTCACTTGACTCCATCAGTCACCGCACTGTCTTGGGCTCAGGGATTCAGGCTCATCTGCCCGTCTCTCTAATCTTCTCTCTGAGAAGGTTATGGAAGCCAAAGTGCAGGTATGGATGGGCAGCCAAGATGCCACGGCCACAGACCAGCCTCCGGGGAGCTCCCCGTAGGGCAAGCAGCTTGCAAAGAACAAAGCCACCAGGAGATACCGGTCCTCGGCATTTTCATGACGCGCAACAGCCGCTGAAAAGGCAAAGGATCTCGGGCCCCGTGGCTCGGGCTCGGAGGGAGCCTGGGTCAGAGCTAAAACAGCTTCAGGACCCCAAGCTCAGGAATGGGTTCCAGAAGTCAATGCCAAAGCAGCCCTTTGCAGAAAGCCAGTGGTTGGAAGCACTTGCCTTTATGATTGAACAATGAAACTATATAGACTTTCGACGATTCGAAGGAGTGAAGAAATGGCGGGCAAACATATCTCTTAAAGTGGTGAACAGGCTGCCCAGGGTCGAAGATAAAGCTCACATGAACGTTTCGCAGCACCTCAGACAACGCAAGAGAGTGACAACACTAAGTTAGCCTCGCACTGATGCGTCGTCTCGGCGGTGGTTGAGTTGTCCATGTCTTCCGTGATTCTCGCGGTGGTTGAGATTTTCCGACTGCGAGGTGTCGTCAAAGGGTTACAAGGTAGCCGCATTCTTGAGAGGCTAAGAGTGCTCACGGCTCTGGAACCGGAATTGCCACAAACCAAGGCTCAAACGGACATGGCAACAAGAAGCCATGTCAGTATGCTGCAGCACCGCCACCTCGAAAGCAGCAATGAAGTACAGACAGCGCTGGTTGAAGAAGTTGTCGGCTTCGGGTTCAGGGCTCGGGACTGCCAGGAAGGGTCACTGTGTTATCGCGCACACGAGAAGCATGCGAAACAGCAGAAGCAGCAGCGGCAAGTGTGGCAGCGGGCGAGCTTGGGTCGCCAAGGCAGACCAACTCCTATGACAATCGACTCGGCACCCACCCGGCCTCGCGATTCCAAGAGACAGCACGGCAGTCAGCACGAGCAGGATCCTGCGTTCGGAAGGTTCCCGGTAGCATCAGAAAGCAACACCAGAAACAAAAACGCAGTGAACTGGAGGAAGCAAAACAGTGCATCAGAACAAACAAGGACCTCGCCGGCAGATGCTGGCAAGCATATGAGCACTTCCCTTGGCCTTGGCCAAGTATCACCCTCAAAAGCGGCAAAGGGGTTCAGCCGCGCTGCCACCCCGGCATCCTGACAGCTGAGAGTTCAAAGACCAAACCGCGAAGGGACTGTGGAATCGAAGGCTAAACCCTTTTTTGCTGCAGGCTTGCAAGCAAGAACCCCTGGTAGTTAGCCACTCGTCCGCCGACTAACACTGCACTCGAAGGCTAAACCCTAAACCCTAAACCCTAAACCCTAATCCAGATCTGTTTCAAGGCTCAGCTTGAGAGCTTCACCCTGCAATGAGCAGCACAGGGCAGTGCGTGACAGGGCATAAAGTTGATAATTGTTGTACTTATCCAGGGATTGCGCAGGTTCTCGCCGAAACTTTGGCAAGATTACCCCTGCTACACCCAAACCCATCTAGTTCTTCTTTCGCAAGAGTTGCACCTCTTCCAGCGCGAAGAGCGGGTATGTTGACCTGGCATTCTCGTAGAATGCAGGTACCTGAGGCTGGCAGAATGGCTCAGCGTGTACTGCCGAGACGACGATTCCTTAACCCTTAAGAAGGTTTCGGTCCATGCGGCAAGCCACAGCTTCTCCCAAACATCAAGCACCACCTCGGAAACACGAAGAATCCAGCTTTACGGAGAACAAGGGTGACAGCTGCGCTACACCTACTGTACGGTCAAGACAAGAACTCCCTGTCAGGTCGAAGCTAAGCTCCCTGCATTGCTACAGCAACTCCCTTTGCAGAATCGCCCAGAAGTCCGTCTTCCACAAACTCCAAGCAACTACTCACACAAGCCACCTCTTCAATCTTTGCAGCTGTTCTATCTGTTGTATCGTTGGGTCATGCCTTTGGCGAACCGACACTGTCCACAAGACGGTGGAAGCCACAGCAACCTACTTGTGAGGCTTGGTCGCATCCAGAGGAAAGTACCTCTGTGTGCACGAACGCGTCCTAGAGGGAAGTCGCAATCCCAAGCAACAGCCAGACCATATCATACCAGTATGAACATATGTCGAGCACTATATAGCACATGAGCTGGCATGGCATTGGCATGCTTATAGGCCACTGTATACCGCTATAATTTGGCTATAATTATGAGCTCGCGTCTTTGTGTGTCAGTGTATGTTGCCTCATGACATTCAACGCTCACAGCACGGACATTACATGTTACCCTGCCTCGTGTTGGCTACGGCAGGGACTGTAGTCTAGGAACCCCTTACAGGTTACGGTATTGTTGGAACCCTGGCAAGGGAACCTGTTATCAGCTATATGGTCTTCTGGCTATTCTGTTATTTTTGTCATTATGATTGGTGTCATTGTAATTAATTTGTATTATCACGACCGCGGCTCCAATAATGCTGTTATTGCTACAGTGATTCTCAGAACCCTCCTCCCACTTAGCCAACTTTGGAGTTCAGCTCCAAGCCACCACTGCGCTCAGCGCCCTCCTTGACCAGGTCAGGGAGCAACGATCCAGTCTGCCGAGACCTTAACGATATAATAGAATAGACTAGAATGACTAGAATCGAATACAACATATTCTATTCAATGTGTCTCGGCTCACAGATCCGTGGGGCTGGACTTAGGGTTCGGAGTTTAGGATCTTGGCTTGAGGCTTCAGAGTTTGGGGGCTGGAGTTTTGGGCCTGCACTCCTATGTTACAGCATCTCGCTCTGTGCCGTTGCATTCAGCGGGTCTAAAGCCTCTGATCCTGCCCCCTGCGCGCAGGAACCGTGCATGGACGAACATGTGTACTCCCAAGAGCTTTTCCCTCGTGATGCACTTGTGTATTCGCCCGTGTCCAACTGTGTCATGTTACATCATGGGGTCTAGGGTTCAAGGTTCAGTCTTTCCTGCAAGCTTCTCGCACCGTGCGAAGTGTCTCGATATGCCTCAGTGTTCACGGCGTGGAAGAGCGGTTCGCAACTCTGCAGAGATGAGGTGTACCGTCGTAGTGTCAGACTGGAACACATGCTACATGCAGTATGCTTTTACTTTGGCTGTAGTGTGCCAAGAATTTACTGGTGCTCGAAAACATGAGGAACGCTTGAATACCAAATGTACAGTGATTTCCCCCTGCCCTCGGCTCTTACAAAGGAGAGTAGTTTGCATTTCTTCAGCTGGAGCCCTGAGAAACTGGGTTCTTGTTAAGGGATTTAATTTAAGTTACCATGATAAGGATCTACAGTAAATAATATGGTTTCCTTATTATGGTAACTTAAATTAAATCCCTTAACAAGAACCCAGGAAATGGTACATGTTCCTTTTCAGACGGGGCAAAGCGGTCCCCACCTGGCGCTGCCTCCTCCAGGCATCAGGCTTCGAGTCAAACACTCGCCCTATACCTTGCGGCTACGCCCAGGCCACTACTAAAGAGAGGCAAACGAATCCGAGAAGCCTCCTTAGGAGAACTTTTCGAGGCGAGCGAGGGTCCTCTCTAGCTTCAAACTTCGCCCCAGCTTCCTCAGAGAACTTGTATACCTTCTCCCGCGATTGTTGGTGACAAATGTGACAAACACTGCGCGGAGTTGTTGCATCTGAGCACTGCGCAAGCAAAAAATGCCACAGTAAACTGGAGCGTGCTCGGAGCTTGTATGTGCCATGGCTCATACAGCATAGAGCCCCAACACTTCTGACACGAATACGCTACGATTTGGTACAGTAGACTACGACAGAGCGCCACGAATCTCCAAGAGACAGTCCGCACCTTTCAAAGATGGGACCGAGCGGGGTGCATTGAGCATGCATCGCGTCCTCCGTCCGGACCCTGTTTCACAGGGCCAGGACCCTCGCAGCCTCCGTGCTTTGTGTTGGGACACAGTGACTCCGGAATTTAGTCAGCAAGTCTGCAGCTATAGAATCGCAGACTGTGGAAAATTCGCAACTACTCAGAGGCAACCGCTCAGTCTCCACTGGCGACGGCAAAAAAGTGCAGCCCTATCATGCCTTATCAGTACCACTCTGACGAACATGCCGAAACCCCAACTACTGAAGCGGAGTCTTTGGGAGCTGAAAGCGCTACAACCAAACGTGCAAGAAGAGCCACGAGCTCAGAGCAAATGCGGTGCCACCACGGTACCGTCTGCCTCCATTCACTGCAGCCTGATCTGGTCTTTGGGCTTGCGAGGGGCTTGCAGTGGAGCTCCCTGGAAAGAGTCGCGCTTGCCCGGAGCCGCAGTACCCAACACCAGGCGGATCCTTCGGAACATCTCCCCAGGTCATGCAGAAGATGCAGAGCCGCGAGTTGACGGAATGCACTACGTCGGCCGCCGGAGTGTGGAGGTAAAGCTGCCAAAGTGTGACGCCTTGGGGAGCTGTGACTGCACAGCTGATCGTCTCACCCCTCCCGACATTCTCCGCCAGCCGCTTCACGTCCGTGGTGGTGGAGCGCTTTGCTCGGGTATAGGCCTCCTGCTCCTCTGTGGAGCGTGTCTCTGAGGTACCCTTTGTGATGCAATTCGTGGTCTTCTCACCCAGTGTGACAGGATCACACTCCTCCTGCTCTTCAATCCCAAACAAATCGAAAATGGGTCCAGCAAATGCCGAAATTCCTGCAGCAACTGTTGAAGCCACTGGGAAAGCTGCGACAGCCACGCCGGCAACGTCCCCCAAAGCCGAAATGCCGTTCCGAAGAGCTTGACCGAAGCCTGCCCCCGCTTCCTGGCCACAGTCCTCCCGGACGACCTGCTCTAGCCTCTCCAAGCAGTCTTTGGCCTCCTGGTGCACCGTCGTCGAGAGGACAAAACTGAGCGACTTTTCCGTCGCTTCCTCCACGCCCTGAGCATCTTCCCGCGAGACCTCCTCCCCAGATTCCCTCCTCATGGACGCTTCGTACGTGTACTGAATGCTGGCGCTCGCGGCGCCTTGGAGAGTATTCAGCTGTGCAGCCAGATGCCATGAAGCGAGGCTGCTCATGAAAAAAGTAGCTGGATTAGGTACACATTGTCCCGGAAGAGCACTTGTGTCACAGAAGCTTGCGGCTACAGTGGCCCCCCCGACGGAAGCCGCTCGTCCACGACAGTCCGCATGCATGGTACAGCCAGTGGTGCTGGTGAAGGTCTGGGTCGTGAACGTCTGGGTCGTGCTGGTGAGGGTGGTGGTGTATATGCAGCACTGCTCCGTGCAGTTTGCAATGTCGTCAACACCCTCTTCATTCAACCCGCAGGTCATATTCGGATCGTGAACAGAAGTACCGTTGGGACAGGACTGATGATGCATGCAGGTGCGATCACAGCATCCCTGCACGGAGCAGGTGTGTTCCGCACATGAAACACGGCGACGACGGTGCACCTTCAACTGGCCCATGTTATCGCAAGCTGCGGCGTAACAGGTGTGCAACTCACAACAAGCGGATGTAGTGCACTGCCGCCGTCGGCAGGAGCTGGACCGGTCGCGACGAGTGAAGTAGCCTTCACCCAAGGCTGCCATGCAGTTGTCATCTCCGAAATCTTCGCAGAAATAGTCTTTAGGCACCTCTCTCCATCGATGATCCGTGTTCTCGGGTCGTGTCTCACAGGGCCAGTCGCCTAGATGAGCTCCCTCTACGTTGGGAGGGTCCCCTTGAATATCCAAGCACTGGTTGGTTCTGGCGCTCAGCAAAGCATCATAGCTCGTCCGAGACCAATCATGCTGGTCGTACAGAAACGGGTTCCGGCACGTCTCGACGTAGGCCCAACCATCACCACCTGACTGAATGGCCAAACATTTGTCGGTCGCCAGATTCCAGAGCTGTGTCTCGTCCTTCCACTCCCAAAGCTGGGAGTCATCGCTAGCATCGCAGCGTTTAGCAATGACCTGGTTGGCGCGCCTCCTGGATTCCAGGCTCACGCCAACGCACCAGGGACTGATTTGATTCTTCAACTGAAACCGGCAGCTTGCGATGATGGCCAGGTACATAGGCGGAAGAAGCTGTCGCAATGCCATGGCAAGTTTTGGCTCGGGCCCTGCTTCTGACCTATGTATACGTATACACGAAGATAAACGTAGATCAGACGAGGTTAGCTTACAAGTAAAAGACAACTCACTCGGTTTAAAGTGCGCCTGATTCAGGCTCATTGCATAGGCATTGAAGTGGTGCCAAACTTGCTGAGGTGCACGCAGTTCACAGGGATAGCCGGAATCGGTTCGTGCATGAAAAATTGGCCATTGTCCTGCACACATTACTTGTAGAAGAGGCCTGGGATTCTCAAGACGAAGTCACTCTCGCTTCCCATTTGTCGTTCATGGCCCCAAGAATCCTAGAATCGCAAATGCTATGTTCCCGGGACTCCATCCGACTGTGCCTTTAAGAACTATTTCGGAACACATCTCCAAAACGGCTTCCGAATTGTTCCGGCTTTAGAAATGGCTGCGAGCCATTCCGAGCATTTCTGTTTCCTGTTTGCGAACGAATTGCCAAGAACGGCTTGCAGGCCACATAGAGGTTGGCACAGCCAAACTGGTGGAGTGCATGGAGTCTTGTCCACGGCCAGTGGCTTTCTATAGATAGATAAACGAAAATGCATCGCCACTATCGGAGACTATTGTACTCTCAGGTCAGTGTAAGTGACTATGCTGTCCTTTGCGCTGTTCTTGGGGCATGCGTGATGTGGTTCACTAGCAAGTGTCATGTGGATTAGGGCACTTTATATGCCCCATGTGTGCTGTCTTAGCAAAGGAGCGCAGGCAGCCAGCAGCAAACGCGGACCAGCCCACTTGCACCTTGTGGTCCGTCCGGGCGAGAAAGGCAACAACGTGCTGAAAAAGAAAGCAGAGTGATAGAATGATGGCTACGTCCACGTATATGCTACGAACAAAGAACCGAGAAGAGTAGGAACAACAAACATCATATATACATGACTGTTTCAACTAGCACATGTACATAATCTTGGCAACTACGTAGACTCGATCATACTCTCAATGAAGAGGTCCCGATATCAACCACCTTCGGCCAAAGAGATACGGTGGCCAGAGCATAAAACATCGAGACCTTTGATGCAGTCGCTCCGAAGTTTTGCTACCTACCGACACCTGAGCCGCCGGAGAATCGCGCGACTACTTTGCGAATTGTGGCCAGACTGCCCCTCATAGGTTGAAGCGGCCCAGTTCTTCAACAATCTAATCCATCCAAACCGAAGGTTTAGTGTTTAGGGTTTAGGGTTTAGGGTTTAGGGCTCAGGGTTCAGGGATTCAGAAAACGACGAAGCAACTGTCCGCGGCTCGTCCGAGGGCTCCAGTCTTTCCTCGGGAAGTCGGAGCCCACGGCGTCGAGCCATCAAGCTGCCGACGCGAGCATGGGCATGGACTCACAAGCATTCACTTGGGAGTTTCCGAAAATAGGGGACCCTAATATAGTACCCTAAATAGTAGGATCCTTATTATAAGGACCCCAAAATAAGGGATCCCCTTTCTTTTCGGAAACTCCCACTTGGCATGTTGAGTTAAGGGTTGAAGTGCCTGGAGCTTACACAGTTGGCAAGGCAGGTTCAAGCGATGGATTGCGAGTATGTTGCTACAATATCGGCCTTGAGGTTGCGGGGACACGTCGAAAGGCTGCGACTATAGGGACTCTGGCGCTTGCGTGGAGGAACGCCTATCTCAGCAATTAACGACAGGTAGAGCCAAGATGGCCGCCACACAGTGGACAAGCCGGCGGGCAGCGAAAGCTCTGAGGGAAGAGGTGTTGAAGCCACCAGGTGAAACAGAGGCGATAGTCTGCACGAATACACACAACCTGCCGCTCCAATCCCATGTAAGCCCTAAAACCTAAACCCTAAACCCTAAACCCTAAACCCTAAACCCTCAACTAAGCATCATCCACTGGAGTGGCATGCCATCTGCTTTTCCGGGCGAAGCGGACACGTGTCTAGGCAGATGCGCAGCTCGGAGTTGACAGTGCCGTCGTTGCTATTGCCTGTCACTTCTAGGTCCTAAGTACTGTAATCATTGAGTTTTTTTGCTTGGGAGGGCGCAAAGCCAAAGCGACGTGCCCATAGTCATTGAGCAATCATTTATGTAGTCTTTTTGGCAATATGAACTATTTGTCTCGAAGGGGTGCCATGCGGCCACTCCAAATCACCATCTTCTTGACGTCTGCCACTTCCGGGCCTGGATCTGCAGCTTCGCAGAAAAATTATGAGACGGGGCCATTTTCAAGATCCCCAAGTCTCATCGCATGGCCGAGCCTGCAAGCACTGTACTGAACACCACCCGCGCGGGCGAATCAGCGAGTTGCATACGCTTGAACAAATATCGGAGCCTGAATGGTACATTCTAGCATAGCTATAACAAGGAACGCTAGGAAAATGTTTGGTCATTATTTCGGCCTCTGGTAGACCAAGTGGTCAAGAGCGATACTCAGCCGAGAGATATCTGACGTAGGCCGAGCGAGTTTCCGGGAGATGGCGGGAAGAGAACCGCTTAATGCCTGTAAACCTGTAAACCAATCACATGCAAGAACGTTCTTGGGCATCTCCTTGCTTACGTCAAGACTGAGAATCCTGCAAGCCTGCTTCCGTCAGCAACGCGCTGATTCGGCACCCCGTCCGCACAGAAGCCCCACATCAGCACCGAGGCAGAAGAAGGGCGCATGGAATCGGAGCCCCTGCCCTGAGCATCATCCCTTGGGCTGCTGGCGGATGGATGGCGGGTGGAAGCTTCCTCAAGTTACTTGCATAGATTCGGCTTCTGCTGGCATCGGCACTCCATCACCTCATGTGTCAACTGTGTGAGTTGTCAGTGCATGAGTTGTCAGTGCATGAGTTGTGAGGAAGTGCCCGGGCCTAATCACCCAAAACGATGGGCGCCACGGCTTAGAGTCACAGCATTTGTCGGAGAAAGCAGGCAACCCTGAAACTAGCAGCTGTCAGATCTACCTGGAACCGAAACCCCGAACAGATCGCAAACTCTACTGCCCGCTCACTGCGACCATCAGAGCTCGCTTAGGCGAGCTTGACTTTCACCGGGCACTTGGTGCCGCCAGCTCAGCCAAGGCAGAAGCCACCTCGGTTGTTCCAGCACAGCGATTCCTAAACCCTGAACGTGCTTATTGATTCAACCCCCACACCCTCCTTCTTGCCGTGCCACAGCCGTTCTTGCTCGCGGTGTGCACATCCGCCCACTCCACGTTCATGTCGTCAAGGGTAGCATCCTTCCAAGCTCTGCCCCAATCTATTTTTGCATCAATCGGGATGCTCCCTAAACCCTAAACCCTAAACCCTAATGTGAACTAAGGCGGACACATACTCTGCGGCACCAACGGCGGCAGTCGCAGGAGACCTTGTTGGGATATGGCGAAGCCGGGGAGGGAAACAATCTCACTGAGCCTTCTCGCAAGGTTGCAAGTGGGTGTTTCTCTAAATTAGGGTCCCTCTTTGGGTCCCCAATATAGTACGGCACCCTTATAAAAAGTACCCCAAAAGGGACCCTAATTTTGAAAACTACCCAAGTTGGTTCTTCGATATACACTGCATCCCATGGCATCCGTCTTCCGCAACGGCGAAGACAGAGCAGGCAAATTTCTTGACGTTAGAAAACAAACCGGGGTATAACTACAGCTTGATTTGGTTCATAATTCAACCGAACCTCGCAAGTAGGAGCTACTGATGAATTGCAGTTGCAGCATGCAGACATGAGGGTTGAACCTGTGATGACAGCCAAGACACGAAGAGGGTGAGTCTCATCTGCAAACATCAAGATACTCGTCGATCCGGGGCCGAAAGACGGCCGAAAGACAAACCGCAGATGCTCAGAAGTCGACTTGATGGTCGGGCTTGGCGCGGCAAATGCCTGCGAGCACGCCGGACGCGGACGAAACGTCGTTACACTTCTCAAGCTGGAGTAGACGTAGAGTTTGTGAAGCGAACACGAAAAGGGTCACAAGCAACTCGAGCTCATCAGATGCCCCCAGCCGAAGATGCATTGATCTGGTCCCGGACCAAAGCAAGATTGGTACAGCAAGAGTCCGAAACCCTCGAAGTCACCTGAAATTCTCGGAAAACGACGCTACTGCAACCTCCAAACCTCCCACTTCCCCATCCTGGCTCTGTAAAGGCAGCTGCAAAATTTGACGCCTGCTGAGAGCAGGGAACCCGCAGCAGGCTAAGGCAGCCGAGAAGGACCTGGCTGCCAACTTCTGATCCACAAATTCCTGAAAATCAGACTAGGCTTTCGGGGTTTGTTAAACTATATGGGTGGTTGTCAAAAATATGGTCCCATTTTGGGTCCTTATTATAATACGGCACCTATGATTTAGGGTACCCCAAAAGGGACCATAATTTTGACAACTACCCATATGTATCATAAGGAACCCTAAGGAGCAATAGTGATATTTATTCAGGCTTCTGTATTAGGGTTTGTGGTTCAGGTTTGTTTGGCCTCCTACCTCGTCCAGCCCGCATTGCAACGGTGTTGGGTTTGGCTTCTTTTTTGCCCAGGGTTTTGGGCTTTGGCATCATACTATACCGCGGGTTCCTTTTGTAATTGCCGTATCATATTAATAGACCTCAAATGTCAAAACCGCATTCTAGTACAGGCAGCTTGGAGTACCAGGAAAGGTGCTCAGAGGACCCTCTGCTCGGATTGTCGGGCTGCCGGCCTTTGCTCCTGGGGTACAAATCTGGCCGGCACATTTTACATAATACTATCTTGTCTTATCTTATCTTATACTACATTACATTATATCATACTATATTCAATATCTTGTGTCGCGTAACCTCATATCCTATCCTACAATACCATATCATGTTGTATATTATGCTGCATCAGGCCATACCATGTCAGCTCATATCATGTTAATTTTTACTACAATATAGTTATCTAGCAAAGTGTAGCAAAGTATAGCAAAGTACAGTATAGTATAGTACAGTATGGTACAGTATAGTGTAGTATATAGTCTAGTCTAGTCTAGTCTAGTCTAGTCTAGTCTAGTCTAGCCTAGCCTAGCCTAGTATAGCATAGCATAGTATAGTATAGTATTTTATAGTATGGCTTAGTATAGTATAGTATAGTATAGTGTAGTATAGTGTCGCATAGCGTAGTATAGTACAGTATGGTATGGTATGGTATAGTATAGTATGATATGGTTTACTATAGTGTTTTTTAATGTGTCTTGATGTATTTTCGTAGATTATCTTATTCTGTATTCTCCTTTGGCATATGATGAAATATCGTATTGTGCTATACCATGGTATATTTCGCTACAGTCTGAGATATTACATTATGGCTCTTGTGTCTGCCTCCGTGTGTTCTCTGAAAGAGCGGTTCATTCCCACGATCCTGGTCTCCCCTAAAACCTAAATCTAAACCCTAAACCCTAAACCCTAAACAAGAACCCATGTAGACACAAGACCGGCGGGCTGATGCTCATGATGCTTGGCTCTTAGGCCGGCGGTGGACACAATTAATGAGGGGCCTTCATAATTAGAACAGGGTTTTGGGGCCCATTTACACTATAGTAATAATAAGGAACCCCCAAAATAGCATAGGTAGTTATTTAGGCCCCCTTCATGACGGATGGTCAACAATCTGGCCGGCCAAAGGCTGGGCAGCTGATGCTGACGATGCTTCCCTCTGTCGGCTCGGTTCGGTCAGCAAGAATCACTGATGGTGCAATGTATACTCCTGTGAACAAGTGTGACAGCCGCGCCGGCTGATGCTCATGATGCTTGCGTCTGTGGTCATGAGTGGACTCCAGTGAGAAAGCCACGCTGGCTGACTCTCATGATGCTTCAAATGGGTCGACAAGCATCGCCGGATGATGGGCCTGTGGACAAAGCCAGGCCGGCTGATGCTGATGATGCGGTCTCTGCCGGGTTGGGTCGAGCAGGGTCATTGGCTGATGCTCCTTATGTTTGCCTCCTGTGGTCCATGATGCTGGTCTTTGCTGTGTCCTCTGGAAAAACCTCGTGGCCCGTGCTTGCTCCTCATGATGCTCCCGTCCACCGATTTTCTCGGGATCCTTCAAACGCCTTGGCCGCTGATGATCATGATTCATGATGGTCTCTCTGCAGGGTCCCAAAGAAGCCTGGCAGCATCACGAGGGCTCCGCTCTGGAGGCTTTCTGGTTGATAATCATCATCTAGCTTGGCTGCTTCAAGGTGGTTCGGAGTCCACTGAGTAGACAGCTCCCACAGCCTGTCCAAACCACATGCCTCCGAAGCTTAAGACCAACTTCCCACCACTCAGCTTCTACTCCGGGGCTCTGGCCGCTGCCAGCAGGAAGGCCGGCAATAGCGCCCCGGCACGGGGTCGCGGCATCGCCAAGTCGGAGGGAGCA